GAGAGAGAGAGAGAAACACAACTATAGGTTCATATGGTTGGGATCCCTCCGGATGGTTCGCAATCTGTGCGCGACAGTCGTCGAAGGAGAAGCTTCACCTTTAGTGGGTGGGGTCGCAATCGAAGATTGCACCAGAGTATGGGGTTGCGAACCATGGTCATGATGAAGATCTAAAGGGCTGTCATGCTCTTCTACAATAGGCCGGAGAATGGCTGGTCTAGTATGTGGTGGGGGAGAAGCCAAGTCATCTTCCACTTCGAAATGCTCATCCATCGCAGCTAAGGCATCCATGTCATTAACAAGGTTGTCATATTCAAGATGAGCATCCCAATTCTTGTAGTTGGTCTCGTAATTAGTTCTCAATTTACTCAGTAGCCTGTTATTGTAATGAACATAGACCAACGACTCAGATGGATCAACATTTAGTCGATTACACTTAACACTGTGGATGTAACTACACGTGCTCCAACATCTCTCGGACAACACCTTAACTGCAACTGAATACAACTTTGAGGCCCCACCACCATACAAGTCCCACCACGACACTGATGACATTGTACCTCTATCAGCTATGAATGTTGGCAGTGAGAGACTCCCCTTGCTACTAACAAAATCACTTATTTTTTGTCGAACCTTGCTCTGCTCAGCCTGATCCCTTACTATCGCATCAAGAGCATCATTGTAGGATGCGGACACCTCAATATCCTGATGGGGCTTCACCCTCCTCTCCCCCACCAAGTGTAGGTACTGACAACCATTCACTAGAATAATATTTAGGGCAAAGAAAAAAAGCAAGACAATGAAGTGGAAGGTTAGCCCTATTCCATCTGGCTACCACCAAGTCCCTGACTATTTGAAGCAACACTGGATCATCATATAGAGCAACCGATATTTCTCCATACATGGTATCCATACGCTTGTTCGGATCTCCAATTACAACCTTATCACTATTTGCAAACTTTATCGTCTTCCAGATTGGCCATGTGAACCCCAATATTTTTTTGTTTATTGCCCATAATTTATCATCCATCACTATTCTGTGAACTTCACCATGCTCCTCGTCTCCCGGGCCAGGTCTATGTCCATCCTAATGGTTGGTCAAGACGACGGATGTCAAGGCGAGCCTCACTTCCTTAAGGTGCATTAACATGATGTAGTGATAATCGAATCTGGTCTTCTTAGCTTTTAGAAGCTCGAGTTTTGAAATAGTTCAAAATATGTACAAACACCTCGTGTAGTTGCGGATATATGACATTACCCTTGTACCCTTTTTGCAATGATCCCTAACAAAATCAAATGTTAAGTGTCTTTTCTTTTTGTCGACAATATCCTTCATGAGAAGGCTCAACGTGTGAGCTAAGCAGCCTAACCAAAAAATATGGGGATGATGTCTATGAATTATTGAACCAGCTCCCTTGCAATTCGATGCATTGTCAGTCACGACTTGAACGACATTATAAGGTCCAATATGATCAATGGCCTTTAAGAGTATATCCTCAATATTCTGACTAGTATGCTCAATTTTGGAGCAATCATAGCCATTCACAAACATAGCCTTACCCTCTGATACAACCATTATGTTTATCAAGGATTGATTCTTCACATTACTCGATCCATCAGAAGTAATAGAAACCCCAAAAGTTGGCCATTCATTTCTCAATGCACCTAGCTCATTGTCAATCCAACTCCTCTCTTTATTTAGCAAACTTGTCATCAATCTCTCATATTTAGGGGGCACATAACCCTTGGGAACATTGTTTATTACATATATCATTTCTTGAAACCGAGGACCCTTTACCACATTAAAATGGATCCCATGAGCATAAAAACATCGAACGATTGCGGCATCGACATCCTCCCTCGCATGAGCATCAAACATATGCGCTATACTACCCCTAGCTCTTTTGTTTGAACTCGAAGATTTTGCGTCAACCCTGATCGCTGCGATAATGAAGTGAATACAGTTTGATCAAGCGACCTAATGCTTTCTTTTCGACTCGAATCAAACAAACGTTTAGCCTTAGACTCTTCTACCCTCAATGCATCTCGTTCCTCTTTTGATATTTTTGGGCAAAGAATTATACCCTTAGATTTCTCCCCCTGTAAAAGGCCTAATAAATGTGCATGCACACGTACGTACGATCATGTGAAAGGGATATCTCGACAGTCGAAATTACTTTCCAATTCCTCCCCCCACCTCCCAATTTCGTATCACTACCTACTAGAGTGACATACCATCATAAAGGTGTTCGAGATGGTTCATCAACCTCTTCAACTTCTACACCTGTATTATCCCCTCCAAAATATTGAATGACTTCATTCGGTTCCATAATATTACAAAATGGGATACATTGCACAATAAGAGAATATTACTTTATTAATCTCATCTCTCAATAGTCAATACATCTT